TTTTAAAAAGATTCTTAAGATTAACTATTAATTGATGACAAGTTTTAACTTTTTGCGCAAAACGAATACCTTTTTTTAGCTTCTCATTTATTTTGGCAAAAAAGGCTGATCGCCGCTGATTAATTTTGATTATTAAAACTAGACACCTTGAACTATATGTTCGAAACTTACCAGGTCTCAGATAATTATCAAAAAAATTTTTTTCACAATGAGGGGTAAAAGGCACGTAAAAGCTAATCAAATTCAAGAATCCACCTGTAGATCGTTCTAGAATGTAATTTCTAATTTGGTATAATCCCGGACTCAATAAGGTGAGGTCTTAGCGAGTCATCACCCTTGTGCTGATGACGAGGACTCGTTGTAGATCTCCATTAGGTGGGCCTCGACAAGTTCTCACCCTTGTGTTATTGTCGAGAAGAACTCGCCATCAGTCTCCATGAGATAAGGCCTCAACTAGTCCTCCCACTTTTTTTATTATTGAGGACTCGCTGTCGATCTCTATGAGATGGAACTCAACGAGTCTTCCCTTGTGTTAATAGTTGAGGACTCACTATTAGTTTCTGTGTTGTGAGGTCTTAACAAGTCCTCACCCTTGTGCTGATAGTTGGTGACTCACAGTTGGTCTCTGTGAGGTGAGGGCTTAACAAGTCCTCACCCTTGCACGATGGTCAGAGACTCGCAGGCGGTCTCCGTGAGTGAGGCCTCAATGAGTCCTCACTATTACACGATGGTCAGGAACTTGCTATTGGTCTTCGTGAGGTGAGGCCTCAACGAGTTCTTACCTTTTTTTATTGTCAAGAACTTACCGTCAGTCTCTGTGAGATGAGGCCTCAATGAGTCCTCACCCCTTTTCTATTGTCGAGGACTCGCTGTAGATCTCTATGAGGTAAAACTCAACGAGTCCTCCCTTGTGCCGATAGTCGAAAACTCGCGTTGGTCAGCATAAGGTGATGTCTTAATGAGTCCTTACTCTTGTGCCAATGGTCGGGGACTCGCCGTTAGTTACTGTAAGGTGATGCCTCAACGAGTCTTCACCTTTGTCCGATGGTTGGGGACTTTTTATTGGTTACCATAAGGTAATGCCTTGACGAGTCCTCACCCTTGCACTATGGTTGGGACTCGCTGTTGGTCACTATAAGGTGGGCCTCGGCGAGTCCTTACCCTTGTGCTGATGGTTGAGGACTCATTGTCAGTCTCCATGAGGTGATGCCTTAACAAGTCCTCAGCCTTGTGCCGATGGTAGAGGACTCGCTGTTGGTCTTATTAAGTGAGGACTCATTAAGTGCCACCCTTGTGTCTATGGTTAAGGACTTGCTGTCAGTCTCATTAAGTGAGGACTTGTCGAGTTCTTACTCTTGTGTCATGGTCAAGGACTCACTGTTGGTCTTATTAAGTGATGACTCATTGAGGCCTCGCCCTTGTGTGATAGTCGAGGACTTGCTGTCGTTCTCATTAGTGAGGCCTTATCGAGTCTTCATTCTTGTGTTGATGTTTGAGAACTCGTTGTCGATCTCATTATATAAGGCCTTATGAGTCTTCACCCAGCTATTGGTCTCTATGAGGTAAGGCCTCGCAATATGCTGATGGTTGAGGATTCGCTATTAGTAGGGTGTTTGGTCAACATAATAAATCAAACATATGTATAGACCTATATAAAATTGGTATAATTGAGATTTTTAAATAATACGATTAGTAATTAATTATGTATTGTTCAAATTCATTAATCTGTGCCACTTTCTGCTATTTTAATACATGGTTTTTTAATAAATATATTTTGTTATTTTAAGCTCGAAAAATTAATACTGAGCAAGGAGTTAGATTTTAAAGATTTATCACTCTCGTTTAGTAAATACCTATAAAAAATGATATTTATTTGTATAACAATACGATCATAGTAAAAAACTGACTATACATATTTTTGTCATAATTAGTCGATCTTTTAAAAAAAACGTTTGGTAATTCTAATATTAATGAACTTTAAAAATTTTGTCTGTGTCACAGGATCATATAACCTGTCACAGAATACTTACGTACTAAGGTAAATGTGAGTATTATGTTGAATGTAGATATTGTGGCGAATTTGCATATCATGACACCACATGATCTGAATCATGTGATTTTTATACCATTCAATTCCTCTCATCGAGAGGAATCTAATGGTATAAAAATCATTAACATTTGATGATACAGTTATGAGATATTGCAATTTTTATAAAAACAGATTTTTAAAGAAATTTAATGTTAAGAGAGATCTTATGCCAAATCGGGAATATCTCGTGATTCTGTGATTTGATTTTAATGATTTTTATAATGTTATAGAACAGTTTATTATTTTATTAGTTTATTATTCCGATATTGTATTTTATTATTTATTTTATTAT